GGACAACTCTGAAGGGTCATTTTAGCCCCAGAGCTCTCTGGGAGCCATCTCACTTCAACCTTGCCCTCTGCCCAATTCTGCTTCCTTCTCTCTCTCCCACGGGTGTTGATCCCCAAGGAAACTCCTAACAAGCAAATTGCTGCATGGAATGGACTCAGCTTTGCTTCCAGGGAATCCGACCTGTGACCTAAATGTTACCTGTACCTACATGGAATAATACAGTGTCACCGCTATGCCATCTGCCTGAGGAAGGAGGGGCTGATTGGAAGAGTGGCTTTTAGAAAATCCTCATTTTCAAGTGAAATCTTTAGTGAACTCCAAACATAAAATGTAAGATATAAAAGCAGGCCTTGTCCTGGGGGAGGTGTGGGTGAGGCTTGCTCCTGAGGCACCTGTTTACAAAATAGCTTAAAAGTCACATTAGATATCTGCTTCTTCTTCTGTTTTTTTTTTTAAATGTTCAGTTATACTTTATTATTATTATTTTTTTTTACTGTTTATTTATTTTTGCACACAGAGACACAGAGTATAAGCGAGGGAAGGACAGAGAGAGAGGGAGACACAGAATCAGAAGCAGGCCCCAGGCTCTGATCTGTCAGCACAGAGCCCAGCATGGGGCTTGAACCCACTAACCACAAGGTCAGAAGTTGGACCTGAGCAGAAGTCGGACACTTAACCGAATGAGCCACCCAGGTGCCCCTAAAATGATATATATATTTTTAAAAAATATTTTTAATGTTTATTTATTTTTGACAGATAAAATGATATATTTTAAAGCCCAGGTATAGGATTTAAATGGATCTCCTGAAGAACTATCATATTTAACATTAAGTTCTCGTATATAACATATTCTACTTTTATTATCTGCTTATATTTTTCCCCTTTTTTATTGTGGTAAAATACACATAAATTCACCATCTTAATTATTTTTAAGTATACAGTCCAGTGGTCTTAAATATACTTCTAATGTTGTACAAGCATCACCACCATCCATTCCCAGAACTCTTTCATCTTGTAAAACTAAAACTTGTCCCCATTAAACAACTCTGCTTTTCTCCCCTCACCCTAGCCTCTGGGAGCCACCATTCTACTTTCTGTCTTATGCTTTTAGCTATTCTAAATACCTCATAAAAGTAGAATCTTACAGTGTTTGTTTTTTTGTTACTGGCAAATTTCATGCAGTATAATGTTCTCATGGTTCATCCATGTTATAGCACCTGACAGAATTTCTTTCCTCATTAAGGTGGAATAATAATCCACTGTATGTACACACCATATTTTGCTTATCCATTCAGCCATCAATGAACATTGGGTTGCTTCTGTGTTTTAGCTACTATAAATAATGCTGTTAATGAACATGGGTACAGATATTTCTTTGAGACACTACTTTCATATTTTGGGAGATATACTGGGTATATTATACATACCAGTATTATACACTAGGTATATTATATTATGTATAATACCCAGAAGCAGAATTACTGGATCATGTGGTAATTCTGTTTTTAAGTTTTTGAGGAACCATCATACTCTTTTCCACAGCAGCTAGACCATTTTACATTCCCATCAATAGTGCACAATTTTTCCACATTCTTGTCAATTCTTCTCATTTTTTTGTTTTGTTGATAGTAGCCATCCTAATGGGTATGAGGTGGTATCTTATTATAGTTTTTGATTTGCATTTTCCTAATGATTAATGAGGTTCATCATCTTTTCATGTGCTATGGTTTTTATCTTCTTTGGAAAAATGTCTATTCAAGTCCTTTGCTCATTTTTGATTTGGGTTATTCGTTTTTTGGCTGTTGAGTTTTTTTCATTTTAAGTTTATTTATTTATGTATTTATGCATTTATGTATGTATGTATGTATGTATGTATATATTTATTTATTTATAAGAGAGGGAGCGAGGCAGAGAGAGAACAACAGGGGGCAGAGAGAAAGGGAGAGAGAGAGAGAATCCAAAGCAGGCTCTGCAGTGTCAGCGCAGAGCCAGATATGGGGGTTAGACTCACAAACCTGTGAGATCATGACCTGAGCTAAGATCAAGAGTTGTGCGCCACCCAGGTACCCGTTTGTTGAGTTTTAGGAGCTCTCTCTCTATTCAAGATATCAATTCCTTATTAGATATGCAAATATTGGATATGCAAACATTAGATTTGCAAATATGATCTGCAAATATTTTGTCATATTCTGTGGGTTGCTTTTTTACTCTGTTCATACTGTCTTTTGATTAGCGTATTTATATTTTCAAGTTCATTCATTCAGTTATATTTGCAAATGTTTTTTAAACTTCTTCCATCACATTTTTTCTATATATTTATCTCATAATAAAATAGAAGTACATTATATAACAAATTCTTTCTGACAAACATTTAGTATGAATCGAATACAACTACCTTCTATTTCAGAATATAAATTAACATCTATTCTTAAGTGATTACACCATGCAAGAGAAAAAAGTATTGAAAAACCTGTATTATCATAAGACGGCTCTGTACCATCATACCAAAATTAGAATTAAAATCCCCAATGAGTTCAAGAGTAGGATTTTCCTTCTTGTTGACTATGCTGGTAGTATCTTCTAATTGTGTTCTCATTTGATGGGTCCTGGATCCAGTGGAATTCCTCTTCTTTTCATCCCTATGCCCGTGAGCCCCAGAGGTAACAGAAAGGACAGAGCTAGATCTGTCAGTGTTCACGATAGCTCCTTCCAAAAAGAAAGTCCAGCAAAACCTTCTTTTCTACCCTTCAAATAAAGGATCACTTGCCCATGTTCAAAGAAAGCCAGCTGCTAATGCTGAGCTCTTAGCAGACTTCTACTTTGGTCTGGTATCACTCCTTTCCTCAAAATGCTTCCATGGCTTTCTGATAATCTGGGTCCTTGCTGTCTCTCTGGACTCCATCCACTCTTTACACAGCTCACCAAGCTCTAATCTCTCTGATCCTTCCCCTCTTCCTTGAACATACAAAGTTCTTTTTGTCTCAGGGCCTTTGCCCTTGTTGCTTTCTGACTCACTCCCCATCTCACCCCAAGTTAGCTACTTTCTACTATCTTTGAAGTTTTAGCTTAAATGTCATGTCATTGGGTAGGCTTTCCACTACTCCTTGATAGATTAAATCCTCCTTGTACCCAGAGCAGAAGTGTTATAATTACATGATATAGGCATTTGCACAGTTATTTTCCTAATCTCCCCCACAGATAATAAGTTTCATGGAAGCACCATGTCTGTCTTATTTCCCTGTATACCCACAGGGCCTACCATAGTACCTACCACATAGGAGAGGTCCTCACAATGTTTGTCGAATAAATGAATAAGTTAATCAGTCTAGAAAATAAATGTGTATCCCTCCACTCCTCATGCCCAGGGATCAATGTATTTTCTCCTGCCCTTCAATCCTTACCTGTTCAATTTCCCTTTCCTTCTCAGGAAAATGCACCAATTGAAGTCTAAGTGGAAAAAAATTCTTAAATGTGCTTCATCACTGGAATTAGGATATATTCACTGACCTTTATTAAAATAAGTACATATACACCTTACAAGGAAAAAGAAAAAAGGATTCTTTTCTATCCTTAGGTAAACACTAAAGTCACTCAAAACATTTTTGGGACTTCGTCCAAAGAATTATTAGTAATTCTGCGAAATATTCATCTTATAGAAAATGAAAGAAACTTTAAGTTTTTATTCTTTTCTTTTTTTTTTCATGAAGTGCTTCAACTTATGAACCATGATGGGCTGGTATGAAATGAGAAGTTTTAATTGGAAAAGTAAAGTAAAAATATAAAAACAGAGTTATTCACTCGAAAGTCAGAATATTTCAGCAGACAGAACTTATTTTAGAATTAGAAATAAATCTGAGAACAACAGAAAAGAGTAGAAACTGTTTCTAAAACAAATGGTATCTGGGGAATATACATTAAGAAACTTACTTATTTAAAAATATATATATTTTTTAAATTTTAAGACTGAGAGAGAGAGGGAGAATATAAGTAGAGGAGAGAGGCAGAGGGAGAGAGAGAATCTCAAGTAGGCTCCATGTTTAGGATGGAGCTCTATCCCCTGACCCTGGGATCATGACCTGAGCCAAAATCAAGAGTTGGACGCTCAACCAACTGAGCCATCCAGGTGCCCCCAGAAACATACTTCTGTGAGGATACTTCTAAAAGGGTACAACCAATGGTTTATACTCAGGAAGCTATTAAGATTTATAATATTAGGGAGCACCTGGGTGGCTCAGTTGGTTAAGTATCCAACTTCAGCTCAGATCATGATCTCATGGGTCGTGAGTTCGAGCCCCGGATAGGGCTTTGTGCTGAAGCCTCGGAGCCTGGAGCTTGCTTCTGATTCTGTGTCTCCCTCTCTCTCTGTCCCTCCCCGACTCACACTCTGTCTCTCTCTCCTTCAACAATAAATAAACATTAAAAAATCAAAAAGATTTATAGCATTAAAGTTATTGGTTTAGAGAGGACTTTATCAATCTCTTTGACTTGGAGGTTTATGGATTTATTTATTTTTATTTACTGATGATGGTAGACTTCAGAGCAGCAAGAGGAAGATGAAGAAATAGGCCCAGCTAGGGGCGCCTGGGTGGCTCAGTCGGTTAAGCACTGACCTCAGCTCAGGTCATGATCTCAAGGTTTGTGGGTTTGAGCCCCATGTGGGGTTCTGTGCTGACAGTTCTGAGCCTAGAGCCTGCTTGGGTTTTGTGTCTCCCTCTCTCTCTGCTCTTCCTCCACTCATGTTCTGTCTCTCTGTCTCTCTCAAAAATAAACATGAAAAAAAAAAAGAAAAAGAAAAAGAAAAAGAAATAGGCCCAGCTCTAGCTTGAGTAGTCCTTTGTTATCTTTTTACCGTAAGAGAACAATCAAGTGCTAGGTCCAGTCCCATATTTCAGCTGTAGAAAGGGAACACCGAAATGTCTGGATGCTAAGTGGCCTGGGCTGGCTTCACTACAACTGGTAAAGCCTAGAGGTGTGAAGGGAACGAGAGAACCAGAACCTACCTTCTTGGGCACAACAGAGGAAATGTAACTTCCTGTGCTTTCATCGTCGTGCATCAAGATAGGTTCGGAGCTGCTCTCCTCCATGACCTCCTGCATGCTGTTCACACTGCTGCTCTGGCTGCCTGTACTCACGGACATACTTGGGATGGAGTGGTTGCTGCCCAGGCTGTCCATTTCCCTGATCAGGCTGGTTCCATGTTCACTGTCCTATAAAAACAGGGCACGGGGGTTAACAAAAAAATGACTTGAGATAAAGTCCCAATCCATTGACTAAGCTATTAAGCACACTCAATTCTGCAGTGCCAAGTTGCTTTTCTGCCAAATCTGCAAAGATAAACTTTTTATGCAGTGACTCCACTACTCCTCCACCATTTCCAGACATCTCAAATTCACTTGTATGTCTTCCTCAGGGGCCATTATGGACATGGGTCATAAGGCTCCAAATGCTGCTATCCTAGGGCTTTCCCCTGTCAGATGCAACTATCATATTATTGTGTTGCTATTCAGTAAGCAGAAATCAGGCCAGGTTTGTAAGAGACTTTCAGGAACAGCAAGGTGTTAGATAAAGACCATAGGCAAGTGAACAGGTAACCTCTGGCATATTTACAAACAGGGAGGAGGTCTTCTGAAACTAAAACAGAGTGAGAAGAATTTTCAGAGGACTGACAAGCAATATGCTCCTTGGCAAATCATTATTGAGTAACTGCATGCCTAAGCTGGGATATTATTTCCACTGTCCTGGACAGGTAATTAAATTCTGCCTCCCTCAAGCAATTTTATCATGCTTACCTCTGTAATCTTATTAAATATATCTGTTAAATAATACTGGTATTCATCACTGCTATTCCAAAGACTACTCTTTGAGAAGTGGTAAAATAATCAGAATACATAATTTACCCATCACGGTGGGGTATCTTTTGATACAAGATTAAATAATATAATGAAAGTACCTTAGTTCCAAAAAAAAAAAAAAATCCTATTTTCAAAGAGTCATACTGTATGTATCTAACTTTAAGGAACTGTTACTTAGTCATGGCAATATAAGGAATCACTGGCATAGGTTATTTGGGTAATTTAATATGGTAGATAATACATTACATTTTTAATCGATTTATTGTCCCAATTAAAGGGGAACATTGGTGTATGTGCAATCAAGAGATTTTATAGTCCAATTCCATTTTCTGAATTTCATTTTTATAATTATAATTTTCTTTCACATTAAAAAGGGAAAATAAAATTCATTGTTCATTTCTTTCCTTTTTTCAAAATCTAATTTTAAAGGAAGAAGAGTCCTTCATTTATTCTTTTTAGTTTACCTATCCATTTGAGAGAGAGATTGAGTGAGTGTACATGAGGGAGGGGCAGAGAGAGAGAATCCCAAGCAGGCTCCACACTGTCCGTGCAGAGCCTGACATGGGCCTCAGTCTCACGAACATGAGACCATGACCTGAGCTGAACTCAAGAGTTGGATGCTTAACCGACTGAGCCACCCAGGTGTCCCAAGGCGTCCTTTCTTTTTGCTCAAGGCTCTAATACTCTTGCTCCTACCTCAGGCACTTCCTGAGATCCTGCATCTTTAACCACGTCTGTGTCTTCTAATTTCCATGCCTCTGTCTTGGCTTCTTCCACTCTGCCTGCAAACATGAAGAGGCCTGCCCCATGCTTGCATACCTCTCAACATACTGCCCTTTGTTGCTTTTCCTTCTTAGGCAAATTTATGAATCTTAACATAACCAGCTTTCCCTGTCTCTACTTTCTCATTTCCCATTTATTCTACAAACCCAAAGTTATCTATTATTCATCCTGACTATTCCTATAAAACTCCTTTTATGAAGGTCATCAAGAATGCCTTACTTATAAAACCCAGTTAACGTGTTTTGTTGTTTTGCTCCTTGTCTAAGATGACCTCTCTGTGGCATCTGATATGCTGGCTGCTCTGTCCTTGAAGTTGCGGACACTCGGAACATCCGTGGGGGATGTCTTTTTCTTAGGGTCCCTTATTTGGCCCGGCTCTCTTCTCATTCGTTATTATTGTAATGCTCTTGACCCCCCAGCCAACCACTCTTTACCCTGACCTCTTTCTTATGTTCTGGGTTTGCATTTCCCAACCAACTGCCAGACATCACCATTCAGGCATTCCAACTCTCCTTACCTTTGCCTCAACCAATCCTTCTTAAGTTATCTGAATGAGAAACCAGAAAGTCACCTCTCCTTTGAAAACTTCACCTGTGTGTTACGTCAGCAGCCTATGAGGTCAGGACCTTAAACTTGACAGGCTCCCAACTGAAATCACACTAATCCCATTCTTTCACCTTGGTTTTCTCTGTTCTTGGTATTGAGACAGTCTAGTCACCTGGGCTAAAATGCTCAGAGTCACCTTAAACTCCTCATCTGTCACTTTCAATGGGAAGCACTGTATTATCAAATCTACCTCTACAGTGTTTCTCAAAAATGTTCCTCCCCACCCCTTCCCTACTGACATTGCCCTCATTACCTCTTGCATGGGCTGTTATATAGAATGTAACACATTCAAGTCCATCTTATACTCTGTTGCCAGGATAATCTTCCTAAAGTACAGCACTTTCCTTAGTCTAAAATGCCCTATGCCGGTCTCTCAAAAACCACCCATGTCATGTCCTCCATACAACCTTCACTAATTCTCCCCACCAGGCTTATTTCTCCCCACTACGAACCCTGCATGGTGACATACCTCGGTGACATTTTTCATATTTTGTCTTATGTAAGACTTATTTTACGAATGTCTCTTCGTAAACTCTGAAGAAAATGTCTCTTCATGCAACTCTGCATGTTTCTCGAGGCACAGGGCACCAATTACATTTTTATCACCAAAAGTGGTTTACAAAGTGCCCAGTCCAGAACTTTCCCACATAGTAGGCACTCTGAGAGTGCCTGGACTATAACAAACTGGACCTACTTCTTCATCCTCTTGTGACTCATTCAAGGGTCCATTTCTTGTCTCTTGGAAGAGGATTTTTTTCATTTTTCGGTACTGTAGGTTATCTAATTCACGAACGGCATCTTTTGTCCTCTGTATGAGGTCAATCAGGACACGTAGTGGCCGGTCTCGTCGAACAAAATCATGCTGATTGAGGGAGGAAGAAAAAACAAGAACTGATAGTGAGAACACAGATTTTGGGGCACAAGATTTACCTTATAAAAGTAAATAGACATAAACCAGGTCTGTTGAGTTTGTAGAAATAACAAGATATGACTTTCATTTCATATAACCTCTCATCTTGTCTAAATCTTACAAAGAGATAACTATGCTTTTGTCTTCTTCTTCAAGCTCCATTTTGTGGACTGTGTCCTAGAGTTTACTCGAGGATTCTTGAGGTTTACTTTAACATATAACCAATAATGATTCATAGTTTAGAGGCTTGTAACTTTCAAGTCTGAAGCTCTATAATAAGTAAAAGTGATGTCGAGTTAGAGAATACTATTGTTATGATCTGCCTCAATTCTCCTACCCACTCCACAATACCCCTTTTAAACAGACGGTGTGTATTTTGTTTTCTAGGTTGGTGGTTCTGTAGAGTATATGCATGAAAATATGGCAGCTTTATTTACAGGTCATAATTCTGGCAGCTTCATTTTCCCTTTACAGAACTGTACAACCAGAAATAAGGGAAAAGGGCTTCTTTTTTT